TTATTATATATCTATGTCGTATACATATATATATATATATATATATATATATATATACATATATATATATACATATATATATATTTCAAGCATGCATGAACATGTCAGGATTGATTTGATAGTATGCAGTTGTGCAGACCTCTGTCTCATTTAGTCTCGGCAATCATCCATGCAATGACCTCATTTCCGCTCGATGTACAATGCCTATAGCTACACGTACTTCTCTTTCTACGTGCACGCGAGGAGACTAACTGCAAACACAGTCAAGAAGATATATGAGCTTATATACACATACTCGCTTTGTGTGCTTGCTAGCTTAATCCCCATGGTTGGTACGATTCGGTTTTCAGTACACATTCCTATCTTTCCCTCTCATTGTATATGCAGTTATGACCGTTGTGTGTTTGTACACATTCCTTATCTATCTTTCCCTCTCATTGTATATGCAATTATGACCGTTGCGTGCTTATCTATCTTTCCCTCTCATTGTATATGCAGTTATGACCGTAGTGTGTTTGTACACATTCCTCATCTATCTTTCCCTCTCATTATATATGCAGTTATGACCGTTGTGTTTGTTACACACTCCTCATCTATCTTTCCCTCTCATTGTTTATGCAGTTATGACCGTAGTGTGTTTGTACACATTCCTTATCTATCTTTTTCTCTCATTGTATATGCAGTTATGACCGTTGTGTGCTTATCTATCTTTCCCTCTCATTGTATATGCAGTTTTGGCCGTTGTGTGTTTGTACACATTCCTCATCTATCTTTCCCTCTCATTGTATATGCAGTTATGATCGCTGTATATTTCGCCGTGAAGACGCGCAAGGTCCCTTTGTTCTACAATGAAACTCTGGTATGTGGCTACAGGAGACTGAGGTTTGCGTACAGAGACTTTAGTCTTGGTACGGCCGAGCAACCAGAACATCGTAGATTAATATGCATATACAAGTGAGTGTATGTATACTTATAGTGAGTGTATCTAAAACGATTACCCACTACTCAGAAACAGTGCCCTGTGTGTCGTTGTTACGTTGTTTAATATACACATACCTACGTACAACAGTGAGTATATAATAATATGATAAATACGTACGTATTACTGTGTATATATAATATTAAATATACATACGTATACCAGTGAGTATATAATATTATGATAAATACATACGTATTACTGTGTATATATAATAATATGACATATATATACGTATAACTGTGTATGTATAATAATATAATATATATACATACGTATACCGGTGAATATATAATGCTATGTATACACATCCGTACACAAGTTTACTTGTACTGATCCCCTCATTACCTTCTGATTCATTTACCTTTTACCTGCTGTTTCGTTTACATTTTACCTACTGTTTAGTTTACATACGTTGTACCTCCTGTTTCACTTAGATTCATTTTACCTACTATTTCATTTATATTTTACCTATTGTTTTATTTACATCTTAACTACTGTTTCATTTACGTGATACCTACTGTTTCTCACCACACACAGTGGATCTGCTGGGCGCTATACAACATGGTGGCGTGGTTTGTGCTGCGAGTGATCTGTGATATGACTGTGACTGACGCCTTAGTGAAGGCATTCGTACAGCGCTTTACATCTCTGGTCATCTGTGGTATGTTTTCCTTGACTAGTTCCCTATATGAGTGTCCTGGTTTGTGAATCTTGGTCTCCTGGTGGAACTGCTGCTTGCTGGTTCCCTTTTGTGCGTTTGCCTTTGTGTTCCGAGGTTGCCTGATTTTCCTACCCAAATTCTTTTCATTGTCCAGTGGGATTTGTGTGCCTGATTTTCCTACCCGAATGATTTTCCTTGTTCAGTGGGGTTTGTGTACCTAATTTTCCTACCCAAATAATTTTTATTGTCCAGTGGCATTTGTGTGCCGGATCTTCCTACCCAAATTATATTTATTGTCCAGTGGCATTCGTGTGCCTGATTTTTCTACCTAAATTGTTTTCATTGTCCAGTGTGGTTTGTGTACCTGATTATCCTACCCAAATTATAATTATTGTCCCGTGGCATTTGTGTGCCTGATTTTCCTACCCTAATTCTTTTCATTGTCC